CCGCCTCCATCCCTCCTCCCTCCCTCCCTGCGAGCCCCGTGCTGCTGGAAGGAGGTAATATTTATAAATACGCCGTGTCCAGCCCCCAGGGCCCGGCCCGGAGGCTCGGCGGAGGCAGAGCTCATGTAACCAGACCGTGCCCGGCAGCCCCAGCCATGGGAGACGCAGCTGTTCCCATTCCCCAAGAATAAACAAGTTGGAGACAGCCCATGACTTGCCCTCCCAAACCGCCCCAGGGCTCATCCCGCTGCCATCCCACCCCGGCAGCACCCCCCGTGCCCAGGGAGCGCCCGGCCACCGCTGCTCACCCGCTGAGGAGAGGCTCCTGCTCTTCCCTCCTTCCCCCCGGCTCAGCCCGGCGCTTTCCTGCTCCGTGAAGGTCAAACTGGTCTCTCGGGAGCCCCCGCTGCCAATCCAGCCCCTGCCCTGGCACGGCTGCAGCCGGGTCGGGCCCTGGCCACGGGCGCTGCCGCCTCCCCGGCACACCTTGCGCCGGTTCCACCACGGAGGTTTTTCCCACCAGGCTGGGATTTCTCCAGGCGAGCCCTTCGCCTGCCCCGAGCCCGGAGTGTTCCCCGAGGAGCTGCAGGGCCGGGGCTGAGCGTGGCACCCACCCTGCTGCAGATAAGGCAGGGGCTGTAGCCAAGCCCGCTGGCACCGGCTCCCTCCTCCCCTGGGGTGTGCGATCCAGGAGCAGGGAAAAGCTCCCTGTGTGCCGGGTGGCTGCAGCCCCCTCTTCATTTCATCCTCAGAATCGCCTACCCAACGCGAATCCACCAAAATCCCGAGGATACAGCCTGGCCAAGAGCCAGTGCTGCTGCCCTCGCTGGTCCCTGAGGCTCCCAAAACTCCCCTGCCCATCCCCACACTGGGCATTTCAGGTTTATCCGGAAAGAAAGTTGCACCCATTTAACTAGAGGGGATTTAAGCAGAGCACAGGGTGTGGGGAGTTTGTTTGGAGCTGAATGCACTCGTAGGAAAGGTGACAAAACCCCAGGAGCAATTCTTAGAAGAGACTTTAAAGATAAGGCGGCACAACCTCCTCAGAAAGGCTGTAGGACCGTGGGGATGTGTCACTGAAAGACCTTGAACCTTCTCCGGGTGAGCCCCTCCAGGAGAACCCACCCACCACCTACTGTAAATCCCTTGGGCATCCCACAGTGCTCATCCCACGCTCCTCCTCCAGCCCTGGAGAACCTACCTCCCCAAAACACCTCCCAAACCACCCCCGTGCCTCCAGGAAGGGAGAATCCCCCATTCCCTGTTTCCTCAGCAATGTGTCGCCTTCACCTCCAGCCAACTCATGGGTCTCCCTGGAAGGTGAGGAGAAGGACACGGACCTCATCCTGGAGCACAGGGCTCAGCTTCCTGGATCCCTGGGCTGACCATGGCATGGGAATCCACATGGAAAACCCACTCCAACCGAAAGCCAAGCCTCAGGTGGAGGGGCACGACCTTGGAATGAACTGGGGGGAACCACTGGGGCTCCTCACGTAGGTACCAGTGGCGGAATGAAAAGCTGAGCAGGTGCTTCCTGTGTGCTCAGGAAGAGATCTTCCCTTTCAGCCCTCCAGTGACAAACCCCACGGCTCGTCCCGGGAATCTCTGCATCCCATCCACCTCTGCACTGGGACCACACAGCGGCTCAGAAAGGCCCAAGTGGTGCCTTCCTGGCTCGTGGAGGTGATGCCACTTCCTCTTTGTGTGGGAAGACGGATAACCCCACGCAGGAGAGTTACAAAATGGCTCCCTTTGGGCAAGTGCAGCTCAAGGTGCCCCCCCAAAAAATCACCCCACAAACTCCAGCTGTCCCCAGGGATGGAGCACAGAGGTGACAGGGATGTGCCAGCTCCGTCCCTCCCCATCAGCTCTCTGCACCCCAAGAAAGGAGAAACAGCACTCCAGGGATGAGATCCCTGCTGTGCCATCACGACATTAAGCCTCCAGCTCCCCCCTCCCGCACCCCACGTTGTGGGAAGACCCACGAGGGTGTTCCTACCCTCAGCACTCGTGGCTTTTTGGGGGGACGCCCCCGGCATGGCCTCCCCAGCCCCGTTTCCCTGCAGGGCTGTTTTTTCCCCGCGGGGTTGTGCTGCTCCGGCCACCCCACCCTCGGCCCCGGGAATGTCCCCCCTGCTCCGATGATTCATCATTTTGTCCCACGGGGCTCTTCCCCTTCCCCACCGCACGGCCAAAATCCGGCAACCGGGGCACCCTCACCTCGGCGCGGGCGGTGCCGGGGCAGGGGGGGGACCAGGAACACACGTGCCGTAAACTCGGCGCCGCGGAGCGTGGAAAAAGCAATAAAAGAGCTGGCTGGGATCACAACTCCATCCCAAACACCCGGATGCTGGATCGCCCCGCCGCAGCCAGCTCCAGCTCCACCCCGGAGCGGTTTCCTACTGATAAGGGCGGGCGGCCAGGCCGGCATCCCATGGAAAACACACGCGGCCAGCATCCCTCGGGAGGCAAACCCAGAATCCCTCAGGAAGCAAGCCCAGCATCCCTCGGAAAACACCCGGCTCCCCTCGGCGCACGGCGGGGTCAGCACGTGCTGCCGCGACCCCGCCACCGCACCCACCCTCCAGAGCCCAAATCCCGCGGTTTCCCGACCCCGGCCTGCCCAATCCCCAATTCCCACCGGTCCCGGCACGGTTTTCCCCGCCGGATCCCCCGGCGGCAGGTAAGGGCAGGCTCGGCACACGCAGCCGGGAGGAACCAGCCCCGTTCCCCGCTCCGGCCGGAGCAGCCGTGCATGAAGCCAAGCAAACATGGCAGGGAAGTACAGAGGAAGAAAAAATACCCCGCCGGTCCCCCTCTCCGCTGCTGCCGGACTCCCTGTTATATAAAAAACACAAACTCCCCCGTGCCCCAAGGGCCGGGAACGCGCAGGAGCGCCGGGATTCCTGGAAACGGGCCCTGCTTTCCCCGGACTCGCACCGGCTTATTTATTTATCTTAGAAGAGCACAATAACCACCAGATTTTCTCTGTCGTTCTGTTTGGTTGGGTTTTTGTTTTGTTTTTTTTTTTTTTTTTAAGGAAATTTCCCCATCATCTGACTCGCCGAAGCTCTGGAGGACACGGGGGGCTGGCGTAATCCTTCCTGCCTCGCAATTAATTCATGAATATCATTAATCGGGCGGCCGTAGGTTCGGGGCAGCCCCTCCTGTGCCCCCTAAACTCCCCGGGGAGGGGCGTCCTCTTGGTGACCCCCTAAAAGCCGCGTGACGCGGGGTACCCCCACTCCTCCCAGCCTTTGCACACCCCAAAAGCAGCAGGGCTGGGGGGGGGTTGGACTCACAGGGCGGGTCCCACTCTCTGTCCCCGAAACCGGGGGGATTTTTGCACCCTGTCCCGGGCAGGGGGGTGCACGGGCCCCCCCAGCAAACCCCGCGTGTCCTGGAGCATCCGTACCTCGGTTTCCCCACGCGTGGGGTGCCGGGTGCGGGAGGGGGGTGATCCCGCCGGGAAAGGCGAGCGGGGCAGATCCCCTCGGGCTGCCGGTGGTCTCGCAGCCCCCCCGGGACCCTCGTTTTGTCGGAGGGGGACACCCGGCCAAGCTGCCGGAGACCCCCGAACCCTCCCGGCCCCGGCCGGGCTGGAGCCTCCCGTGCGCGGGGGCCGCTGCCGGGGGCGCGGGGAGCGCGGGGGGGGTGGCGGTATTATTTACCGCGAAACAGGGGGAAAAAAAAAAGAAACTACGAGTTCAAAGCGCGCCGGGACGGGGCAGGAGCGGGGCGGGGGGGGGGGGGCGCCCCAACACCCCCATACCCCCGCACCAAGGTGGGCTCCCAGCCCAGGGACCCCCTCCCCGGGACCCCGCACCCCTGCACTCACCCGGGGGAAGGGAGGACGGAGAAGGCAACGAAGTGGTTCGGCTGCGCTCAGCCCGGTTCGGCTCGGCTCAGCTCAGCTCGGTTCGGCTCGGTTCGGTTCGGTCCGGGTCGGTTCGGCGGAGTTGGGCTCAGCCCGGCTCAGTCAGGCTGCGCTCGGCCCGGTTGAGCTCAGCCCAGCCCAGCCCAGCCCGGCCCGGCTCGGCCCCGTGCCGAGGGAGGGCAGCAGCGCCCGCCCGGCCCGGCGCGGCCCGTTCCACCCGCCCCGCTGCCCTCGCCCGCTCCGCCGGCCCCGGGCACGCCGGGAGCTGCAGTTCGCACCGGGGCCGGGCCGCCCGCGCCTGCCGGGACTTGTAGTCCCCGCCCGGGGCCGCCGCGGCAGTTCGGGGTTGGTGGTGATTTCCTCCCCTGGAATGGGAGGGCTCCTTCCCTGAAAACGTTTGGTTTTATTTTTGGGTTTTTTTCTCCCCAAAAATGGAGTTTTCCACCCCGGGAGCGGGGGGAAGGCAGGGGCTGTGCCCGCGCCGTGCAGCCCTTTGCACCGGGATCGTGCAGTTCCTTGCTCGAGGATCGTGCATCCCCTGGCACGGGGATCACGCAGCCCCTCGCACCGGGGTCGTGTCGCTCCTCGCACCGGGATTGTGCAGCCCCTCGCACAAGGATCATGAGCGCCCTTGCACGACACTTTTTAATCCCTAATTTATTTGCAAATACACGTGGGCAATTCCCCCCCAAACCGAAGGAACCCGGAGCTGTTCACACGCAGCTCCTTGTTCTGCACGTCCTGCTCCAAACTGGTTCCTGAAGCCTCCAGCCACCACAGCGGCTCAGCCCTGGAGTCCTCGAGCTGAGCACATGGTGCAGCCTGAAATTCTCCCACTCATCCCGGTTTTCCCAGCCAGCCCCAGCAGGCATCCCGGTCCCATTAAAAAAAAAAACAACCCCAGTTTGTCACTGCTGCAATCCAAAGGCTCCGTGCACATCTGGAAGCCCAGGAAGTGCCTGAAAACCTCGAGCATGAGCTCAGATTTTTCTGTTCCATCAAGAAAAGCTGTGCCAGCCCCTGCTCAGCTGCAGCCAGAGGAGACACGAGGGATTTGCAGCCCTTTATTCACTACTTATCACCCCGCACAGATCCAAAGGAGGAGAAGGTGTTCCAGGGACAAATTCTGCCACGGGTGATGCTCAGCATCCCTAAGTTGCCAGGGCAAAGCCAACCCTGTTGTTGGCCATGTCGAAGATGGAGTAATACTGCCTGAGGAAGAGGTTGCCGAGGATCCAGAGGGGCTGGCCAGTGGCAGAGGGCACATAAGTGCTCTCGACCCCCACGGTGCAGATGCCATTGTTCTGTTGGGGGAAAAAGAGCAAATTTCAGCTCCAGTGAGGAGCTGCTCGTGCCTTCACGGCTGCTCTGGCTGGGAACAGGATCCCTGACAGGCAGCAAAAGCACAGTGGAATCGGGTGCTGGAGAAGAAACTCAGGTTTTCTCCCAAGCAGGACTGCCCTGTGATGGCAAAGACCTGTTGGGAAGGGTCAAATCCCACCTACCTCTAGGACATAGACAGTGGGAGGCAGCGACAACCAGGCCCCACTGATGGCAAAGTAGAGGGTGGGCATGTCTGGGACACTGCTGCAGTCAACGAGGAACTGCAAGAGAGGCAAAGAGGGGCAGAGGGGTCAGGACCCCTGGGCTGGCACTGGCCTTATGCCGGTGGCCACATTCCCTAAGGGCCAGCACAGCTCTGATGATGCCAGGGTTGTGTTGACCCACACTTGTCACGTTTGGAAGAATTATTCCTGTTTCACAGCACTGCAGGGCTGTTCCAGGTGAGATGTTTTGCTCCCAGGTGTGTCCTTGTCCCTTGGCATCACCCGGTGCCTCCTGCCCAACCTACCCCATAGTCGCTCTCCTCTGCGCCCAGCGCCTGCAGCAGGGCTGCCATGAACTGCCCTGGGATGGTCAGCAGGAACGTCCCAGTGTCCACAATGCCATGACAGCCTTGGCTGCACCAGCTGGTGACCGAATACCCAATGGAGAACCTGGAGAACCAGCAGGAAAGGCGTCAGAAAAGCTCCCCCACTCCAAGACCCGCCCTGAGCTGTGGGGCAGCACTTACTCCTCGATGCTGATCTTCCAGTACAATTCCTGGACCACAGGAGTCCATAAAACTTCCCCGGAGTACAGCTGGGGGTCAACCCCCCCCAGGATGACTTCCCCACCGTAACTGTATGTTGGGTTGCTGGAAAGACACAAAATGAGACCCAAAATCAGGCAGGATGATCCATGGGAAGCGCCGGAGCACAGAGGTGAGTGGGGAGAAGGTGAGGATGCAGGAAAGGACGGACCCACGCTGTGCCCGTGGAAGAGGGACCCACTGCCAGAGGTCTCACCGGGAGAAGTAGAAGCTGAAGATGGGTTCACTGAGCTGGTTCTGCTGCAGCATGTTCTGCATCAGTGTGTTGAAACCACTGATGGCAACGCCTGGGTAAGCCATGCCCAAAATCCCATCAAAATCCAGGTAGTAAAAGGGTCTGCTGGGCTCATACAGGCTCAGGCCAAACTCCTGGTTCCTGATGACGATGTTCTGGATCTAGAGGGAGAGGGAAGTTTGGTCACAAAGGCAAATCTGCACTGGGAGATGCTGAGCTCATCCCCATCACCAGTGGGGTCAGGAGCAGCCTGATTCACAGTCTTTGTCCCATCACTCATTATTTCATAAAATACTCACAAAATGGTTTTGCCTCTTAAATTAATTAAAAACCAGGGCCTCTTAAATTAATTTAAAATCACATTTTCACTATGTGAAAGCCTCACACAGAACATCTCTTATGTCCTGTAAGGACAAAGCTCAGATGTATATAAAGCAAATTCTTGTGGCCAGAGGTATCCCTTATCCCAAACCAGGGGTGGAAAGCCCAGAGGGCTTGGAATGAGTTTGTTTGCAGATCCCAGTGTTGGAGTAAATTCATGCTGAGACACCTTAAACTAATCAGGCACTAATCCCCAGAATGAGAAGGTACTTTCAGCTACTCCCCGAGTTTTTAAGCAAATTGGACTGACTGTAACCACAGGCACCCCTTACCCCGATGCAGCCACACAGCAGCAGGTCAGGAGTCACTTACTGTCACCGTGTCATACCCCAGCACCACCAACAGGTCCCCGAACCCGTATCTCAGGGTGTAGGTCACGTCCATGCCCAGGAAGGTGGATGACAGGCTGTGGTTGAACCTGTTGTGATCCTCTGCACAGAGAGAAGGTCACAGCCCCCCAGGTCACATCCTGCCCTCATCTCAGCACCCCTGTCCCCACAGGAGCCCCAGCATGAGGCTTTGCAGGGAAGGGACCACCCAAACCCAGCCCCGTGGTGTCACCGAGCGGAGCAGACACCAAACCCCCCCCGGCTCTCACTGGTGTCCCTGTCACAGCTCCAGGGAGCACTGATGGGGGGGGTCCCAGCCCCCTTGGCACGGCTGTGTCCCCCAGGGGTGCTCACCACAGGCTGGACTCTGGCAGTAGGTGGAGGGAACCCACAGGTTGGAAGAGCCGGTGTCGAAGATCACCAGGAAATGCTGGGGAGGGGTCCCGATGCCAACCTCCCCAAAGTAGAAGGTCTGTGAGCAAGAGTGGGAGTGGATTTCTGTTTCTGCCTGTTTTTTTCTAACGATTTTTCAGCCCTGTGCCCCCTGCTAGAAACCCAAACCGCTGTGGGGCCATAGGAAAGGTTTGTGGTCCTTGTGGGACACAGAGGAGCAAGGCCAGGAGCAGCGGCTCTGCCCTAGAACCATCAACTCTGCTTTTCCTGAGAAGGCATTTCCCTGTTCCAGTTCAGGAACTGGTGCCTCCTGCCCTCCTCTCCCAGCATCACCCAGCCCTTGGAGCCAGGCTAAACCCCAGCAAAACCCCTGCCCACACCCAGCACAGCCCCTGGACTGGGGAGTGGGGAGGGAGCCAAGCCCCCACTGCAGAGCTTCCCCCAGCCAGCCAGGAAAGCAGGAGGGCATCCCAGAAAACACCCGAGGGTGGCTCAGAGGAGGCAGGAAAAGCTTCAGCACTTACATCCAGGTAGTTCATGAGAGGTTCATAAGCCACAGCACCACCAAGCTGGTATTTCCTCCCCGGGTCCCCTCTGAGGTTGTTCAGGAAACCCTCGGGCAGCCCCTTCTCTCTCATCAGCTCCCGGATGGACCTGCCCCTCCTCAGGGGGATCCTGTGGGATGCAGGAGGCAGCCAGATGCCGAGTGGCCCCATCCCTTTGTGCCCCCCACCCCGTGCTGAGACCTTCACACCCCTCCCCAGGACCCACCTGAGCGTCCCCTCCCCGAGCGGGAGGCAGAGCAGGGCCAGCGCCAGCCCCCACATGGTCCCTGGTGGCTCCGTGGCAGCTCCTGTGCCAGGCAGGGTGTATTTAGCCAGAGCCGTGCCCAGCTCCTGCTCCAGACACCCCTTTGCCCTATCGCTGCTCCCACCCTCCACCAACGCCCGCGGGCTGTTAATCACGGCAGCCGCCCTGATTGCCCTCCCTGCCAGGCTGCTGGGGCACCCAGAGCTTGGCCAGGGCCCCCGAGACCAAATAAGTGGCATCTGATAAAAAGCAAAATCCTGTGGTTATTAACAAGTTGAAGTCTTTTCTCTCGCCCTCAGCACCAGCTCGGTCTTTCCAGAAGACAAAGGCAAAACACACCCTTTAGAGCGGATGGAAATTCCTGCTGCTGGCGTTCCGGGGATGGGCAGGAGCAGCCCTGCTGTCCCCTGCTGCAGGTGCCTGCAGAGCCCCCAGTCCCTGCTGACAGGGGCCCCCATTCCCATCCAAGTCATGGAATGATGTTTGGAGCCTGCAGCAGCTCAGGAAACCCCTCAGCATCCCTTCCTCCTCCATCGCATCTTGGTGGATCTGCCTCGGCTTGGACAGATCCTGCAGGGAGCAAAGGGAAGAGCAAAGATCAGCAGGGATGTGGTCAGGGATGTGGTCAGCCCTCGCCTGTCCCCTCCTGCCACTGCCCCATTTCCACCAGAAACCTCCCAATCCATGGGGAGGAGGGAAGCCCTTCCCTGCTGCCCGCACCCACTTAATCTCCTCTCCCTGCACTCAGCCTGTGTCAATATTTTGACACAAAGCACAGAGCAGTTTGTGTCCTTCCCCCGGTGAAATGACAGAGCTGTGAATACATCTGATAACGAGAAAGAGCTTCTAAGAAACGAGCCTGGATCCCAGGAAGGAGCAGGGTTACCCAACCTCCCCTGCCCGAGGGTGTTTCCCGTCCCCTTCGGCCACACCAGAGTTCTGGTGCAGTTTTACCCGACTGAACAGCCCTGCTTCAGGGGTTAGGGGTCATTTGGGTGTCATGACTCACCTCACATTCCAACTTGGACTTAAACCACAGGACTTTGGTAAACCTTTTCCAGCTGCAAGGAAGGTCAGGGGCTTCCCACATGAGTTTTCCCGGTGCCCAGGATGAGGGTTGGAGGTGGGGACTGACCAGCCCTGTGGCTTTATCCTCAGCCCTGGAGTTTGTCACGGCACTTACCTTGCTGGAGAAAGGGAGTCTGAGACCTGCAACCCATCAGTCTGTGCTCGGCCATCGCTCAACAAACCCGGGAGGTCAGGGGTGATTTGGGATGTTGTGGTTTATTTGTTACAGGAGACACTGTGAGGACGCCCTCACACAGGAATCCCGAGGGATGGGGAGTCGTGTGGGCAAGTAAAGGAACATTAGAGGTCCCTGGGAATGCCGTGGCACTCCTGGGCCAGGAGAGGGGCCGGGTGGTGCTGCCCCACCGCCCTACGCCGAGCGGGCGAAGCCGACGCGGTTGTACGCCGTGTCAAAGATGGTGTAATATTCCCTGAGGAAGACGTCGCCCAGGATCCAGAGCGGCTGCGTGTCCTGGGAGGGCAGGTAGGTGACCTCGATCCCAAGGGTGCAGTAGCCGGTGGTCTGTAAGAGGGGAACAACAGGGGGTCAAACAAGCACCGGGACCCTCCAGCTGGGCTGCGGGGAGGGAGAACATCAGGGGAGCTCCGGGTTCTCCCCTGGCCCTCAGGGACTCAGCAGGAGAAGCCCCTCAGCTGATACCCACGTTCAGGACGTAGGAGGAGGGGTAGAGTGGGAGCTGAGCACCACTGATGGTGAAGGTCATGGGGGGCATGTTCTCGATCTCTTCGCAGTCCACTGCGTACTGTGGAGAGAGGGAGAAGAGGAGATGATGGGTGGGACAGCACCCACAGTGAAAGGAGAGATACCTTCATATGCCAGCGAACATAAACTTCATTTCCTGGCAGTGGCACATCATGGAATCACAGAGTAGTTTGGGTTGGAAGGGATGTTAAAGTTTATCCAGTTCCACCCCCTGCCATGGGCAGGGACACCTTCCACTAGCCCAGGTTGCTCCAAGCCCCGTCCAACCTGGCCTTGGACACTTCCAGGGATGGGGCAGCCACAGCTTCTCTGAGCAACCTGTGCCAGGCCCCCACCACCCTCACAGGGAAGAATTTCTTCCCCATATCTCACCTAAACCTTCCCTCCTTCAGTTTGAACCAATTTCCCCTTGTCCTGTCACTACAGTTCCTGATGCAGAGTCCCTTTCTTGCTTCCTTGTAGCCCTTTCAGATGCTGAAGGGAAGAGGCTGAGATGTCTCCACACAACTTTCCCTTCTCCAGGCTGAACAGCCCCAACTTTCCCAGCCTGAAGAGACTCCAGGGAAGGATGTGACTTCATCCCCCCTGACACACCTGCAGCACCATGTTCTGTAGGTGCCACATAGGTTTTGTGGGACCTGGTTGAGCCCACAGCTCTGACTCCCATGCAAGGCTCCCACTGCTCCCCACACACACCCCAGAATCCCTGCACTCACTCCATAGCTGGTCTCCTGGGCACCCAGGGCCTCGAGGATGCTCTCGATGTACTCCTGGGGCACAGTCAGGAGGAAGGTCCCCGTGTCCACGATGGCCTGGCAGCCCTGGCTGCAGCAGCCTGTCACTGACTGCCCAATAGAAAACCTGGGAGGAGAACGGGGGGAAAGACATCGCTTGAGGCACCCACTGGTACCTAAACATGCCTTGGCTGGATCTGTCACTCTGGGGTGCTCTGAAACACATCCAGCCTGGAGCCTGTGCCTGCAGCAGGCACCTGGGGGACAGCTGTGCCCCCCCTCCTTCCATGAGCTGCCCAGAGGCACAAACAGCACTCACTCCTCCAGTGTGACCTGCCAGTAGAGCTCCTGGGTCACCGGTGCCCACGTGATGGCCCCGGTGAAGAGCCGAGGGTCGATTCCCCCGAGAACCAGCTCTCCCCCGTACTGGTAGGTGGGTTGGCTGCAAAATCAGAGACACAGCAGCAGAGATCAGGATGTACAGAGATTGGGCTAGAAAGGGATAAACCCACAAGGAACACTCCTGGGGACAGGCAGGGGACACAGTGCAGGGGACACAGTGCAGGGGACATAGTGCTGAGCGTCCCGGTGAGTTTTTACCGCGAGAAGTAGAAGCTGAAGATGGGCTCGGCGAGCTGGTCCTGCTGCAGCATCCCCTGCACGGCTGTGGGCATCCCTCCCACTGCCAGGGAGGGGAAGGCCATTCCCAGGATCCCGTCAAAATCAGCAAAGTAGAAAGGCTGGGTCGGCTCTTCCTGGCTGAGCCCGAACTCCTGGTTTGTGACGGTGATGTTCTGGATCTGGAGGGGAAGGGGAGGCCAGGTCAGCAAGGCAAACCTGAGCAGCCTTGGGAGGGGGTGGATGATGCTCCGGAAGCCCAAGAGCACTGCAGGGTCACAGCTGGTGAGAACAGCACCAGGCAGCAGGGAGAATCAGCAGGAATTGGGTTAAAACACAGACAAACCCCAGCTGGGTGACTGAGGGTGGCAATAACCACTTTGCACCCACGCTTTGCCCAAGTCTTGGCTACATAAAATCTGCTCTTGGGCTGTCCCGGGGCTCCTTCCATCGGGACACTCAGCTGGGGCAGGACAGGGCCGGGGTCCTGAGCTCACCCTGAGTGTGTCACAGCCCAGCACGACGGTGACGGAGCCGCTGCCGTAGGTCACGGTGTGGGACCGGCCATCGGGGGCGAAGGTGTCGGACTCGCTGGGCTTGAACTTGGCGTGATTGACTGGGAGAGAGAGGAGGGGAAATCCTGGGCGTGTGCTCGCCTGGCTGCAGGGGGATTTCACTGTCAGTCGCTCCGCTGGGATAACGCCCAGGGAAGGAGCTTCCCCGGCAGGGAGCAAGTCCTGAAGGGCAGAACAGGCTGTTCCTGTGCCTTGTGGGACTCTCTCAGGCAGGGTTTGCATCCCAGTTTTGCCTGGATCCCTCTCCAGGGATCGCAACCACAGCAGCCACCCAGCAAAGCCATCAGCAGTGAAATCCCCGGCGCTCTCCCACTGGCAGAGTGTTACACGGGATGAGCTCTGCTGGGAGCAGGACATCAGCTCCACTAGTCCTGGCTTTGCTCTTCCCTCTGCCCGGCTACGGAAGGTCAGGCACTACCACTGAGATTTCTGGGATGGCCGTAGGGATTTGTCCACCTTCCTTAGCCGGGCAGAGGGCTCTGTGCTTCCCAGGGAAGCCACCAACCAGCACCGGGGAGCAGCTATCCCAGCTCAGAATCCTGGGATCATTTCTGGTCTGGCACTGGGTTGTCCCTGGCACGACTGGGCTGTGCAGTGCACCAGGGTAGTAGCTACTACTGACTGCTACTACAGGCAGCAGTAGCAGCTCAACTCCCAGCACACCAGGGGTACTCACAGCAGGCTGGACTCTTGCAGTCGATGGAGGGCACCCAAAAGTTGGAGGAGCCGGTGTCAAAGAGCACCAAGAACTTTTGGGGGGGGGTCCCGATGTGGATCTCCCCGAAGTAGGAGGACTGCAGAGAAGAGAGGGGGCACCTGCATTGGCCACGGGGTCAGGAACAGAGCAGGCTCTCACCTGGCATCCCACTGCCTTGCAGGGAGGTGGGGAATGCCAGGCTCACTCTTGCCCATAACCAACCAGGCAGGAGCAGACTGAGCTCCCATCCTGCTTTTTCTCCCCAAAAATGAAATATAAAATAATTGCTGTGTTTTTTGTTACATACAGAAAGGGGTTTGTGGCTGGGGAAAAACTTCCCTGAAGTCTAAACCAGAAGCTTAGAAGAGTGGGAGAAAAGCAGTTTCTCACTCCTGGAGGCTCTGGGGTGACCAGATCGCTCCAGCAGCTGGGAAGGAGGAGGGAAAGGGGAAGGTGGTGTGCAGAGAGGCAGCCAGAGGGGAGCCTGGGGTACTCACATCCAGGTGATTGGTTATCGGCTGGTTCACAACGTAGCCCTTTTTGGAGCTGTATTTCTTAACTGGATCATACTTAATTTTCTTCAGGTAGTCATCCAGCACTCCAGCTGCCCTCATCTTCTCCCGTATGGACTCGCCTTTCTTCAGATTGATTCTGCACAGAGGGAGGAAGAAACCCAACAAAACACGGCAGGAAATCAGGAGAAGATTTGGCCATTTTCAAATGCTCAGTTCTCTGGACTCAGTCGAACCCTGCCACAACAGGAGCCCTCCAGGTGCCCGGGGATGCCCTCCAGGGAGGGATGAAGCCTGGGCTGGGACCGCAGCGTGGTGATGCCGGAGGCTGGAGCCGCTCCTGGCCAGGTGCCCTCCAGGTCAGGGCTGCGGCTGGACTCTGTTCTCTACCCTCTCCTGCAGGACACCCACCTCACCACCCCCTCTGCGAGCTGGAGACACGCCAGGGCCAGGAGGAGCCGCTTCATGGTGCCGAGCTGTCCACACACACCCCAGGGCCGGGCCGGGCCGGGCGGGCTCTGGGCTTTTATAGTGGGAGGCAGCGCCCGCCCTTATCTGCTGACCTCCATTTTCCATTACCATCGTGCCCCCCCCGGCCTCAAGGGCTTCTTTGTGCTTCGGGGCCACGAGGCTCGCGGGGAGCCTGTGCCCTCAGCGGGGCAGAGCTGGGCCGAGCTGGGGAGATCAAAGCGCTGCCATCCGATAAGGGGTCAGAGCTTATCGGGGCCGGGGGACCCGACGTCACCGCCGGGCCATATCTGCGCTCGCCAAAACCTCTTCAAACCTTTCCCCCAGCGCTCGCGGCTCTTGGCACGGGATGGAAACGCTTTGGTCTGCCCTCCTTCCGCCCGGATGCAGGGATGGATGGATGGATGGCTGCCGGCAGCCAGGCTTTCCCAGGACACGGGGGAAAGAGCTGGAGAACACCAGGATCCCTCTCTTGCTTTGTCCTGCTCTGCCTTCAGTCCTTCTCCTCTTCTGCAGCCTCCCAGCCCTTTGCTCTCTTCCAGGAGAAAAGCTCATTTCCATGTCATGTCATGTCGTTTCCATGTCATGCACCTTTCACTATCCGGACAGAAATCATGTGTTTTTCCACTTATTTTTTAATTTTGTGGAGCACCCCATTCCCTCCCCGTCCAGCATCCGAAGGCAGGTGCTGTGCCTCCCTTCGTGGGAAGGTGTAACTCACCCCCAGGGGAAGCCCTCGGGGTTTAACCCACCCACCGCCTCCTCAC